GATCTCAAGTCTCAGGACGTACCATTTTTTTTCCTCTTTCTTACTTAGATCCTAACAGTTCTATCCAATCCATTCTTACATAGCATCTTTAGGGGCAGGTGTTTGGTCTAGTAAGTTAAGATACCAGTTGAGATGGAATGCCTGGGTTTAAGTCCCACTTCTACCTCCAATTCCAGCTTCCTGTCAATGCAAACCCTGTGAGGCAGTGGTGACACTTCCAGTCATTTGGTTCTTGGATGTGCAAGACCTGGATCGAGTTTCTGGTTCCTGACTTTGACCTGACCCAGCCCTAGATCTTGTGGGCATTTAGGGAGAGAACCAGGAAATCAGACTGCATTCTCTCTCTCTCTCTCTCTCTAACTCTCTCTTTCTCTCTTTCTCTCTCTCTCTCTTCCTTTGTTTCTTTATCATTCAAGTAATTTTTTATTTATTAATATATAAATAGCCTTTCTATGCATCTAATAACTCTAAGAATTTCAGCATTTGCATTAATCTTTCTTACAAAATTTACATTGGTATGATCAACAACTAACTTGACATTGCCACTTAAATATCTAATACAAAGTGACTTCCCAAAGTATGTGGAAAATGAAACTGAAAGATTTATCTTGCAGCATTTTTTGAAAATCTTTCTTTAAAAGATTTACTGTATTTATTTGAATGTCACAGTGACAGAGAGACAGAAAGATAAAGATTTTCCATCTGTTGGTTCACTCTCCACATGGCCGCAATGGCTGGGTCTGGGCCAGGCCAAAGCCAGAAGCCAGCAACTACATCCTGGGCCCCCTTGGTGGCACCAGGGGCCAGGTACTTGGGCCATCTTCCACTGCCTTCCTAGGCACATTAGCAGGGAGCTGGATTGGAAGCAGAGCAAGCAGGACTCACTATAGGATGCTGGCTTTGCCCTGAAATAGGTGGCAGCTGTCTACACCACCGCACTGGCCCCTTTTTGAAATTGTAGCCTAGTTTTTTCATAATATATCACCATGTATTTTCATAGTACCATGTGGTGAAGATCCCTAGCAGGCATTGTATGATGCCATCCTGTCCACTCCTGTTCCAAAACTTAAACCACCTCTCATCTCCCCTATTTCAGCAAAGGGCATCATCATTGTTCCAGTTCAGGTTGAAATCTTAGGAAATTTCCTTAAGTCATCCATTTCTCTAAAATCCTACATGCAATTGATTAGTAACTCTCTGCTTTCCCTCACAATGCATTCCAATCTTCCGTCTCCTGGATTAGGGGACACTCATGCTGCTTGGCCCAGAGTAATGCAGGCATTCCCCTGTTACCGTAATTATTACAATAGCTGTGAGGTAGTAGCCAAAGCCTCTGCCTCCAGTGCCAGCATCCCACATGGGTGCCAGTCCATGTCCCATCTGCTACTTCCATCCAGCTCTCTGCTTCTGGTCTGGGAAACAGTGGAAGATGGCCCAGGTGCCATACGAGGGGTGAACCAGCAGATGGAAGACCTTGCTCTCTATCTCTCCCTCTCTCTGTAACTCTGCCTCTCAAATAAATACATAAAATCTCAAAATTAAAAAAAAATAGAAATATGGCTTCCTAAGTCTCTCACACTGATTATACTAGATCAGAACTCAGGGAACTTAAAGGAGCCACCACACCCATTGATTTTTGTAGAAAATCAATCTTTACCATTTGAATAAAAATTTCCATATTTCAGTGTATGTTATTTTATTTGTAGCTATTTAGGCAAGAAATTGAGTCACTGCTGATTTGAGAGAATACTTCCCTGTAGGATTTTAATTGGATGAGGATGAATCGGTTCTCCTTCCAGAATTCTGAGCTTGGATCCATATAGAGAAACAGAGTCATAAGTCTGTGAGAATGGCTCAGGCATTCAAATGGAAACACAGCAGTGGGTCACCAGGGCTGCTGTTACATCATACACACCAAAGAACAGCGTTCTATTACTATTTGAAGCTTACCGCTCAATTACTGATGTTTTCTTATTTCCTGATCTTTGCTACTAGCTATAAATATGTCTTGTGTTTATAATGCACGTGTGCTCTGTCTTTCAGTGGCTCTCCATGTCCTGGAGGTCCCACCCGGGCCTCCACATGCTGTATTCTAGAGTTCAGAATGCATTCCATCACCCATAGCATAGGTTAACAAATAGACTCTACTGGGAAAATTGCTTGGGTCCACTTCATCTCTACGTCACCCCTTAGGAGTCTTGCAAAGGCAGTGTCACTATTGCTCTTGAAGAGTGAGTCTGCATTTCAGCCCAGGAATCTCTTCTATCTCAAGGTCTCTGCCAAGTAGAGAAGTTGCCAAGAAAGCAACTTGATCCACAGGGAACTCACAGGCTGCTTGGAAACAGGCATTCTGGGGTTAGGTGGCAGCTCTTGTCTGAGAGTGTTGCTTGTCCGGCATCTGGAGACCAGGGGGCAATGGAATATTGCATTTTACCCTGGCTCTAGAGGAAGGCCCTGGCCCATGGGAATCTGAGTATGGGTTCAGGTCTTTTCTTTGAGAGAAGGGAGTGGGGCACATAGCTGGCCCATCGCCCAGGTAGTGCATATTGATCTTCCATGGTCTAATCTGCTCATTGCAATAGACATTGGCTAAACATTGGCTCTGATTTTAGATAAATAAAATGTCAAATGCATGCTGCTGAATATATATAGATTTGTATATATATGAATATATTTGGTTATAATTTATTAATTCTGATCATATCAAATGTAGCACAAATAATATATATATTATATAATATATGGTTATAATTATTGGCTCTGATAATATCACATTTAGCATTTCTAAAGACTTATAAAAGTATACTTCAAAAGGTACCCCTGCAGACATACATAGAAAAATTGTTGCATAGTTTTTCATAATCCACATTTTTTGAAGACCTCTTGTTAGCATGGGTTTCAAATTTTTTGTGCCAAAATCAACATCTCTCAATTATATTATCTATGAAATTTCTGAAGCAGCCTCACAAATATACACAGTTTGCATATATACCTGATTATATTGTAAGTCACTAAGCCAACTGAAAATGAGAATAAATTTCTTCAATTGGAAAATTACAAAATAGCTTCAACCAAATCATGAGGGATGAATTCATGCTATCAATTTGGCCTCCTGTATAGTTGTGATCATTTTTTCTCAACATAGCCCCTTCTTTATTAATTCTTTCCCTGGACCTGGGCTATACTGACAATATGAATTAATTTTTTTTAATTTATTTATTTATTTGAAAGGCAGAGTTACAGAGAGGCAGAGGCAGAGAAAGAGAGAGAAAGAGCAGTCTTCCATCCACTGCTTCATTCCCCAGATGGCCAAAACAGTCGGAGCTGGGCCAATCTAAAGCCAGCAGCCAGGAGCTTCTTCCGGGTCTCCAATGTGGGTGCAAGGGCCCAAGGACTTGGGCCATCTTCTACCACTTTCCCAGGCCATAGCAGAGAGCTGGATCAGAAGAGGAGCAGCCAGGGACTCAAACCAAAGCCCATATGACTGCAGCTTTATACACTACACCACAGCACCAGCCCTGGACTTAAATTTTCACTGAAAATCTAACCTCAATGTGCAGTCTGATGGTTCAAATTCTTCCTGCACTAGTGTGAAGAAAAAATGACTCCACAGCAATGAATTGTCTTGACTGGTCATCATCACTTTACCAGTGCATGAACTTTTTATGAGAACATTTATTCAGCAATTTTATCAAGTTAAATACATTTAAAACACTACTGATATCATTAATGTCCACTTATTTTTTTTCTTTTTTTTTATGTAATGAGCATAAATTTCCAAAGTACAGCTTATGGATTACAATAGCTTCCTCCCCCCTGTAACTTCCCTCCCACCCACAACACTCCCCTCTCCCACTCCCTCTCCCCTTCCATTCACATCAAGATTAATTTTCAATTATCTTTATATACAGAAGATCAACTTAGCGTATATTAAGTAAAGATTTCCACATTTTGCTCCCACACAGAAACACAAAGTGTAAAATACTATTTGAGTACTAGTTATAGCATTAATTAAACACCTAAGAGTAATTGCGTATTAATTACAGAGTTCAACCAATAGTTTTAAGTAGAATATAAAATGCAACTTTTGTATTGTTGTGGCTTCCCCCTCCAACCTCCCGCCCTCCCGTAGCCCTCCCCTCACCCACTCCCTCTCCCATCCTGCCCTTCATCACGTTTCATTTTCAATCACCTTCATATACTGAAGATCAACTTAGTATACACTAAGCGAGGATTTCAACAGGCTGCTCAGCAGAAGGATCAGGTCATCAAGGAGAGAGGCGCCTTTCTCTGAAGGGAGGAAGGAACCTCCACTGTGATACAGCCTTGACTAAACAAGTTCAGAGTTGGTGAACTCAAGGGCTTCCATAGCCTAGACAGCTCATAGCAAGAGTCTCGGGTGATTGCTGACGTCATAAATAAGAGTGCCAATTGTTAAATCAACAATGGGAGTCACTGGGTACAGGCTCCCCACGTAGGATCTCTGTCCTTAATGTGTTTAACTATGAAACTTAAAAACAACACTACTCGTGGAACAATACCCTATACCAGGTTCGGTTGTGTGAATGTCCACTTATTAATCCTTTCCTAACCTCATCCCCAATTGCCCCCTCTTGAAACAAGTACCATCCAGAATTTGGCACTGATCTTTGCAGCCCAATTCTAGTTTATATATATCTTTATTTACCTAATAACATTATGAAATAAATTGCTGTGCTATGAAAATTTACATGAGTGGTATCATATTGTAAGGAATCCATGTGTAACATTTTTTCTTGCCTTCAAAAATGTGGATTGTATAAGAAATATTTATATTGTTCTCCACCCCTTTCTCCTGGAACTCGGCTGAATCCTGGCTAGGGGATCCCAGGAAGCCTCCGGGCGGGGGGGGGGGGGGAGGACTTGTTGCCAGGGAAACAACTATGTGATTACAGGGTTGGAATTTATCTTGCTACCCCCAAAACTCTCCCCACACATACACTCCATCTTCTCCCTCACTATCACACCCGACTTCTGAGGAGGAGAGAGGGACTGAATGTTGATTCAATCGCTAACACCAATGGTTTTATCAATCATGTCTACATAAGGAAACTTTCCCAAAAGGACAGGATCCAGAGAGCTTCCAGGTTGCTGAACACAGAGAGGCTCTGGGAAGGCGACTGCCCAGGTAGGGCATGAAGGACCCATGCCTCTTCCCACATGCCTTGCCCTGTGTGCTTCCTCATCCAGCTGCTCATCTGTATCCTTGGGAATACCCTTGATAATAAGCTGGTGAATGCAAATGTTTCTGTGACTTCCATGAGCTGTTCCAGCAAATAATAGAACCCAGGAAGGGGGTCACAGGAAACGAATTTGGAGCCACATTGGACTGAGGTGTGGGTAACCTGGAAACATCCTATTGACAACCAGCATCAGAGTGGGGGTCAATCTTATGAAGCTGAACTCTTAACCTGTGGGGTCTCCACTAAATCCCATTAGTGTGATCATTGCATCACATTGAATTTAATTGGAGTTGAGTTGAATCATAAGGCACTCAGTTGATATCTACCAGAGAACTGAGTTGATACACCAAAAAAAAAAAAAAAAAGAAACCCGCACATCTATTATCAGAAGCAAAGTTTTGACAATGTGGGTAGATAGAAAAGTGTTTTTCCCTTAAGACAATATATTGGAATACAGTGAAATACAGAAAATCAGTGAAATAGCCACACTTGTGCTTGATTGTGGAATCAGTCTATTAGGAAGACCCGTATGTGCCTCTATCAAATTGCATTCCCCTCCTTTTCCAAGGAAACATAATTACCACACTCAATTTTATATTACTTTTCTTAATATTTGCATCATATATGACTGGACTCCTATAAATATGTCAATTTCTTCTGCTTGCTTGTACACCTTATATAAATGAAATCATCTAAAATATATTCTTCATTATCTTCCTTTTTCTTCTCAACATTATATTTGGCTTCTGCCTCATGTTCATACATCCAGCTATAATTCACTAATTTTAATGACATGATGTCAAGAACTATCCATGTTGAAATATAGATTTAGTTGATTCACAGCAAATTGTGTGTGTCTGATGCAAATGTGAGAATCTTTTTCTCCTAATGGGAAAGTCAACTTTATTTACATTTGCCATTATTACTGATTCTGATGTGCAATGATAGTTTAGAGTATCTTAGAAAGAAATATTCCCATAGAAAATGCTTGCAATTGTCAGATAAAGCTTACCAAAAGTATCTGAAAGCAGTGGTTATCCAAATGAGGGAATCACAGATGAGAATCAGGTAACAGGCTTGGGGTTCAAATTACTTGTAGGTTCATCTTTTTTCCATCCACAGCCCACTGATGCTGAACCCAATGCAGACCAGGTCCCTGGTTTGTAGGCAGAGTTGTTTTTAACCTCAGTTCACCAGTACTTTCACAGTCACTTCTGTCTGTAGGAAGACATTAGAAAACCACCCTCAGTACACACAAGACAGCACCTCTGTGTATCAGACTGCACCTTTGTGTCCTGTGTTCAACTTGGATATTTGGAGATACCCACTCTGTTTTTTCTTTGACCACACACACACACACACATACACATATGCATGTATATATATAAAACCTTAAGGAAAATGATGTATTCAATATTTATATATGTTCAAGAAGAATAAAAGTCTTCCATACCTATCCAGTTGGTATAATAATATACTGGATATGATCTCTCCAGCACCCAGGTTTTATAAAGTATATAATGCTAAAGATACAGTTTCACTGTGAGTTGCCAATTATTGCAAGTCTCACCTGTAGGGTGAGCAACAGCGGGAAGCTGGAATTAGGGCCAGAGCTTGGACTCAAACCCAGGCACTCTGATATCAGATGCAGACATTTCAAGCAGCATCTTAACCGTTATGCCAAACACCCACCCCTCTCTGTGGCATTTTCAATCAACGCAAAAAGTCTATCACTTCCAATTGGCCCATAATTAAACAAAATATTCCTTGAGATTTTGTATATGACATACATACAAAAATTGGCAACAGTATAGGTGACAATGTATTACTTATAATATTTATATATTACATTGCATGTTGTATGTTACATATAATACATTTTTCAAATAAATACCAATATCATTGATTTGAAGTTTGTACACCATAGTAATGTTTATATTTTCCCCCTAAGGCAACCAAGAGACTGAGGTGGTGTTTTCTTATGTCAATATCTAAACATTTCAGAAAAATAGAGGTCCAAAAGTTTCTTTTTCTCTGTAAATTTTGTCTGGAATAAAGACCAGATAATGAAACACTCAGAGTTTATAAATAGGTAAATTTTGGTAAAGTTTCTTATTCTTTTATTTACATTTGGTTGTTATAGCTTATTTCCAGGTTGAATTAGTCACATAGGTACAGTCATCCCATATTCAGCAGAGCATCAACAAGTATTAATGATACAGATGGATACAGATGGGACTTATATTGTCTATAAGTGACTATCAGATTCACTTTGATTCCTTAGAAGAAAAGTATTGTGAAATGTAGAAGAGAGTCCTTGGCATGACCCGATGTGAGCATGACTGCTAAAACACATCTTTCTCAAAAATATCTTTCCTTTGTAGACTTTACTATTGCAAAATCAAGGCCTTTAGTAAGAAATTTCTGAATCATCAAATTTGAAGCGTGAAAACATTATTAACTCAACATTAACAATCAGTGTGAATTTGCACAGAAAGCCTTTCAAAGTGTACTAGTCCACAACATACTGATGTCAAAATATGTTTTTAAAAGAGTTTGGTTCCTGCCGGCGCCACAGCTCACTAGGCTAATCCTCCGCCTGCGGCGCCGGCGCCGGTGCCCTGGGTTCTAGCCCCGGTAGGGGCACCGGATTCTGTCCTGGTTGCCCCTCTTCCAGGCCAGCTCTCTGCTGTGGCCAGGGAGTGCAGTGGAGGATGGCCCAAGTGCTTGGGCCCTGCACCCCATGGGAGACCAGGAGGAGACACCTGGCTCCTGGCTTCAGATCAGCACGGTGCGCCAGCCGCATCGGCCATTGGGGGATGAACCAACAGAAAAAGGAAGACCTTTCTCTCTCACTCTCTCTCTCACTGTCCACTCTGCCTGTCTAAAAAATTAATTAATTAATTAGTTTTAAAAAAAAGTTTGGTTCCTTAGCCTAGGGCCTGTGTTGGAGCACAGTGGGCAAATCTGCAACTTGCAACGCCTGCATCCCTTCTTGGAGCACTGATTCAAGACTTGGCTTTTCCTCTTCTGATCCAGCTCCCTGATAATGTGCCTGGGAAGTCAGTGGATAATGGCTCAAGTACTTGGGGCCCTGTCACCTACATGGGAGACCAATGCAATGGCCATTGCAGCCGTTTGGAGGAGTAAAGCTGCCATTGTAAGATCTCTCTCTCTCTTTCTTTCCCGGCCACTGTGGCTCACTAGGCTAATCCTCCGCCTGCAGCGCTGGCACTCCGGGTTCTAGTCCCGGTTGGGGCGCCGGTTCTGTCCAGGTTGCTCCTCTTCCAGGCCAGCTCTCTGCTGTGGCCCGGGAAGGCAGTGGAGGATGGCCCAAGTGCTTGGGCCCTGCACCTGCATGGGAGACCAGGAGAAGCACCTGGCTCCTGGCTTCGGATTGGCGCAGCACGCCAGCCGTGGCGGCCATTTGGTGGGTGGACCAATGAAAGGAAGATCTTTCTCTCTGTCTCTCTCTCGCTGTCTAACTCTGCCTGTCAAAAAAAATGAATCCTAGTACCAGTGAGGAAGAAAAGAAGAAGGGGGTCCACAATGGGAATCCTTTAACTTTAAAAACAGAGCCGTGGAAAAGAACAAAGATACCAAAAGGTGAGGTGGGAAGTGAGGAACTAAAATCTGAGAGCAAAGCCACATGGATAAGATGTGTGGGGAGGATCAGGGGGGCAGTGCTCAGACATCCCAGGTCAGTTCTATGGGCGGCAGACTCTGAGATGGAGGTTGTGAGCAGAAAGTTCAGGGGATTCCACGTCTGTAATGGGTGGGGGGCAGGAGCAGCAGGGACAGCAGCTAATCCCAAGGGAAGCCATGGAGCCAGTTGCCTTCAGAGCTGTCCAAGCCTTGTCTGTCTGCACGTGCTAGTCATGGGGAGCTGGCTGCCTCAAGGGCCTGACCCTGGATGAGATGAATGATGATTCCTGTGGGGAAAGGCTCACTGGAGGCCACTGGAGGGAAATATTCCCTGCAGCTGGGTGATCGAGTGCTGAAATCCTGAAGAGGGGTTCTAGAGGCCACATCACAGCCTCCACCACAATAGGGGGTGATTTTCTGAACAGTGCCCAATATTCCAAAGAGGCAGTTCCTACCAAGCGTCTTCACTCGCTCACACATGAGAGTGCCACCTTCCATAAGCCTGCATCCCAATTTCTGCGTGGGTTCCCATCCCCTTGTCCTTGGATGCCAAGAGAATTTTCACTTTGTGGCAAAGAGGAAAAGTACAAGTTTTCCACACGTGCATGTAACCATTACTCC